CTGATTTCAATCCTGCCTTGATTTTATCAGCCACAGTAAAGAACCGTGCCTATGAATTTGCTCTGCTGCCTCGTGGTGTGTGACCCACCCAGTTGTATTTCCTGCCAAAGCTTGTGGAGTTCATAACTAGCTTTGGTCCCTGAGACATGCCTTGATCAGTGGATGTCATGTTGAATAAAAATGTATCTAAGAGGTTAAAGACATTTCACTAAAAAGCCTGCTAAAAATTGAAATCAATGTAATTGATAATATACAGTACACTGAAAATAATTATTCTGGCCTTCAGTGAGATCATGATAATTAAAAACAACTACATACTCTGAGACAATCTGTGACAGTTTTCCTCACGAGTTAGAAAGGTGAAAGGATYTAACCTTAAATATTCAGGTCTGCAGAAGCCACCTGTTTAACATATACAAGAGAAATGCAGCTAAAGGGACAGCAGTATTATTTTTACTGCCATTCCATAAGAAATTTCCAAAACTTAATCCAATTTTTTTTAAAAAAATTATTCCATCCACTTTATCAATGCAGTGAATTCAATGAGAGTTCAAAACAATGAATATAACCCCCTTTACTGCCATCATCTGTGAATATCTTAATGYCCTACAATCATTTCCACATTTCACCACTCGTGGAGATCTTCCCTACCAGGCTTTGCTAATCATTACACAGACACCAACAGCTCAAAATTGAGAACACAGAAGTAAATAATTAAATAAATTTTTTAAAGTACATTTAAACATATCTCAATATTTTCTTAGGTCTGATCTTGTGGGGTTATTGAAATGATAAACTATAGCACTATGCCATGATATATTGATAAAGCCATTAAGAACTGAACCTCTGCTTCCTTGTGTACCCATTTTTCTTCTGTGAGTTTCTCCCCCTGCCTCTTGCCTGCCATTAAGAGGTTCCCCATCCCCAAACYAACAATGCACACATTGGCAGTACCACAGAACCACAATCACCCAGAGAAGCCAGAGGATTGGAAGCACTTCCATAAGAACCTTCACAGGAAGCAAGCAGGAGGCACTTACCCGCCAGCTGCAAAGCACTGTGAACAAGAGACAGAACAAACAAGAACCCGGAGAACATCATTGTAAATGYTGTTTCCTTTTCTTCCCTCCAGCAAAACCTGGATGGTCAGAGTTGCTGGCAATACAGTCCTGCCAAAAAGAGGATAGTGGCTGGTTCTTCTCAGTTTGGAGGCTGGGTGGTTGGGGAAAAAACTCTGGGTGCTAAATAAGGAAACATTCTGTCACATGCCACATTGCAAAAAAACAAGACCACATGGCACAGATTTCACCCTCAAAAAGGAAAGACTTCTCACTGAGGGCAAACCATGCTTCCTTGGGAAAGCGGGTGATACACAAAACTTTGTATCTCACTTATTACCCACTGTGTCTCCTGAGGAAACGTGTGAAGCTCACGGGATCAAATCAAGTGAAATAATAAAGACAGAAATTCAAGCTTAGCTTTTAAATCTTATATCATGCCTACACAAAATAAAATAAATACTATCAGGAAAACACAGGAGTCTCATATTTTCATGTGTGGATAAGACAGAAGTGAATTTTAGTAGATCAATTCTGCAGGACCTTACAAAAATTTCTGCGCTTCTACAGGAGTTTGCTTTGTCCTACATTTCTACATAAATGCAACTAGGAAACAAGCATCCAAAAGTATTTGAAAAATGGCTTATTGTAAAAACAATGCTTCTTTGTCTTGTGAAGTGTATCCATACTGTTTGAGAGCCATACCAAAGCTCAGTCACAATTTCAGGGAATGCCCCATATTGCTTTTACCCAGTTCAAAATCGTACAGAGCCAGCACTCAGCAGTTTGGTTTCAAAACCTATAGGTGGAAACTTGAAAAAAGCAGCACTCCTAACACTCCTTTCCTGACCACTATAGACTGTCCCTGTAACTGTGTTAAGGCCCAACTTGATCACAGCAGAGTTTTACAATGAAAATGTTTTGTTTAAAAAAGTCTATCATGAAACATCAGCCTTAGAYTTAAAAGGGAAGGTGAGACCCAACCCTGCTTTCCTTGGAGAGAACAACCAGCTGACTGCTTGAAACTTTCTCACATTTTCCACAATAAGAGTGGGGAGTTACAATGGGAACAGCATGCTAAATTCAGAGAGTAAACTGCAGAGCCAAAGTCATCACCAGCCTGATAAATACTGGAGTGAGCACCAGGAGTTCAGCAGGGCTCAGCCCCTTTTTCCTGTGATGGGACCACATTCAGTGGGTGGAGGGTCTCCCAGAAGGTGACTGTGCCCAAGGGTGTCACAGCTGCAAAGCTCACARTGGCCTGCMTGATTGATGCCTTRGGATTTTTAGCTTCTGTATTTTCATGTATCTGTATTCTCATACTTCTCTAGTGTACAGCACTAAAGCTACTGTTGTCCCATTTTTAGACAAAACAGTTCCACTCTAGGCCCAAAACTCAAGGACACCTCAGTGCCTCAGGGCCCCAAAATATGTAAACAATGGAGAATTGGGGGGAGCAAGCTTGGGGGGATTGACATCATCACCTGAAGGGGTGATTGGAGAACTGGGGCCCCATATGTTAATAAGACAGAACTTACAAAAGGTGAAGACCTCATGACTCAGTGTCTATTTTGGGTGTAGCCTTATGAGGATGCCTTTGTCTGCCCTCGATGTACTGATAACCCTTTATTAAATTTGTCTGCTTTTATTCTCTTGGTCTGGCCTCTGTTTCAGGTAAACCCTGTTTAAGGTATCATGATGACACAAGCATCTGATCCTCAATATTTTGGTTGAGCTATAGCAGACCAACATATGCTCYATGATTGCTGGTTTGCAGATAGATTCATCAGCCTTTTGTGTGTTACCTTTTATCTGCTTCTTGTTAACTGAGCCTCAGCAATCAYTGGAAATAATCAACATGTATTTTTGGACCATTGTTTAAATAATGGATAGTGTAAAAAAAAAATTAGTCCAGCCATACTTCCTGGATAACAGTATATACTAATAAAAATAACTGGAAAAATGCCTATTCTTTATATTATCTCTGTCATTAGTCTTTGTTCTCTTCCTTTGCTTTATCACTGTTTCCTTTCTTATTTAAAAAAAAATGCATACCATTTTCCAAAAAGTATTGTTTGAAAATATTTCCCATGGGCAAACACTTCAAGGAGCATCTGGACAATGCTTTTAGTCACATGGTTTAGTGTTAGGGTGTCCTTTGAAGAACAGGGAATTGTCCTTGATGATCCTTATGRGTCCTTTCCAATGAAGGCATTCTATGATTCTGGGATAATTGTTTGAAAATTTTAAATCCTTTCCTTTTTGTAAAATTCCTTACCAAATCTAAATGCTACATTTGGCTTGAATACCTTAGAGAAACATGCTGAAGCAGGAAAGTTGGCAGGAAAATGCACATTTCCTTCCCCCACTACTTGTGGATTGGTGAAGTCCAGAACATGATTTGAAATATGGGTAACAAGGGTGTGTGAAAAATTCTATAGCTGAAAAATATCCTAATGCCCAACACAGATTCATGGCCTGACCTATCTGTCAGTCTCTATGGGGGGAGACATKCAGTGGCTGAAATTCCTCTGCATCCACTGGCAAGGAAGACACTGGAGCTTTTCTCTTCCTCACAAACCTTCAAACTACAATTGTATCAAACCTATCCTCTGAAAAGAGGAAGGAAATGTCATAATTAACAGCACAGAAGGCGATAGAGAGAGCAGACATTCACATGGACTGTTACCAGAGGAATCACTTAACTGGAAAACTATAAGATCTGTAGGCCTTCATTTCTTTTTTTTTCTTTTTTCTGGTAAATTGCGCACACTAGTTCAAATAAAACAGCAAAAGGAGCTCTGTAAATGGCTGTAAGGGTTGTCTATAATCTGAAATACTTCCAGATTTCTTTGTTATAAAGGACATCTAAAGCTCTCACAGGTCTTCCAGGCAYAGTCTGAGTATTGCAATCTCACTGCAGGGCATTTTCTTCTTTTTTACTTCTTTTTGTGGTTTGAATCACTTTCACTCTATAGGAGCAGAAAGTGATTTGTCTAAGGCTCAGTCATCAGTTCAGTTTACCCAGTTCTCAGGACTGTCTAATGCTGAAATTATCACCTTACTTAGCTTGAACATTCCCTGGGCACACTATGTTGGTCACACCATTTGTGCAGGCACCATTTGTGCCTGATTTGGAGAAAAACGCACTTACGGGATTTATAGCTCAGATCCCATTTTCAGGACRAGTGTTGTTTGCTGAGTTAGTGCTGCCAATGCAAACTGCACGTGCTGCAGGGAGCCGAGGCCAGGGCTAGCCCAGCCACCAGCCCTGGGCATCCAGGGAGATCAGCCTGCCCCTCTCTGACTCCCCTACCTCCTGCTGTATGGACACAAAGAGAGGGGTGGGGAATGATCTTAACTGAGGTAAACCAGGCACCATATTTAGGAAATCTGGCAGGTTTAGGTTCAGCTTCCTTTACCCGCTGCCATAACTCCACAATAAATGTATGGCTGTGAACAGGGCAGTCAGTGCACTGCAGCCACTGCCAGCACCGTGTGACCACCTTAAAAACACTTCATCAGACCAGAGCACTGCCCAAACCTCTCCTGATTTTGAACATATATCCAGGAACAGAAAAACATTAAAGGTTAGTGTGTCTGTTCYCCCATCTGCCCTAGAGCAACTTATCGGGTGCTTTTCCCTTCCAGGCAAACCATATATCCTCTAATTTTTGCATCTGCACAAAATTATGGTGTTGTGAATTCTATGTGGCATCTACAAAAGTGCTTTCAGTTCTTCAGATACTGACCTTGTGTCAGGGTACACTGCACTAAAAACTGCTAGGATGATCTGACCTGGCTTTAGAATGCCAGCAAGCCTTGGTCAAAGCTTCAAATTTAAGTCAGAGCCAGCTCCCAGCAAAAGCACTACCCAAGGCCTCATTCTCTGCAGACAATGTCATGCTTTTTTCAATTACTGCTTATCTCTAAATATTCATCTAAGTAGGCACATCATCCACCAAAGCACACTTTTTTGGATGCTGTTCATATCACTGATTGTAGAGTACTCTCAATTTAGCTGTTTTTCCACGTTATGAAGCCAATGTGCATTTAAAATGAGTTTGGGTTCCTGCCCCCATTTTCAATATCACACCTTTTCTTGGCGCCATCACAGTCTATCACACTTAAGTCTGTTCTGGAAAGCTTCAGTGCAGAACACATTTTTCTTCTCATTTTACATCAGTGTTGCTGCACTCATGAGCTTAATGCTTCACACCAAAACATAGCAGGCACTGTTTAAAGTCTGCTCTTCATTTTCATGGCATTTTGTCAGACACTTCATTAGGAGGCATGTAAACAATGGAAGATAAGGAAATATTTGCAAGATCATTTCCTATATGATGAACATTGTTTAGTTTACACAAATTCTGCCCAACCCTGCATAAAACAGCAGGATAGATTAAAGATGAAAACCAAATGTGATGTTTGGGCTGCAGGACAACCCCATAAATTACTTTTTGTTTTTTTTTGGTTTTTTTTAAAGCAGATGAATTTGATTATTCTTTACTCTTAGAGGCAAGCTGGAATACTTGGAGAAATTTGCAATTCTCAGTAAACACTTGGGGAAACTAGACAAGGTTTGAASGCATAAAAACCCCAAGGACTCACAGGCCAGGCAGACGAACCTGAATTCATAGTAGAAAAAGCAGTATTATTTGCTAATCACAAGAGGATGACTGGATAATAAGGAATCATAGTCCTAAAAAAAGAACCAATTATTAGCTTGTGTCGGATTGGTAGGTGTACTGACAAGGGTTTCATGGAAAGATTTGTCACTATTTTGTATGTTAACAGCTCAAATAATGGGAAAATATGCTTAATAAATTATTTAAACTTTGTGTCATGGTTTAAGCCCAGCTGGTAACTAGGCATCATTAATTAATTTAAATTAAATAGTGCTCAGGAAAAGGCAATATTGCAGAGCTGTCTGCACAGGAAATTATTGTAGGCATGGGTCCTTCACCCATGACAGTGAACACTTCCCCTCAGGGATTTCTAGGTCCAGGYTGGCATGTCCAGCATTCCAGGGAGCATTCCCATGAAGCAGGTTGAACACAGCCATTTCCAGCCTGTTCTGGAGCAACAAAGACCTTACTGGGCCACTCTCAAATAACTCAGTATTGGCA